AGCACTCAGGACGTAGTCAAGCCTGGCCTCAAACTTGGGATCCTCCTGCCACAGGCTCCTGAGGGCTGGGAACACACACATGTATCACCAAGCCTGAAACCTCATACTTTTTAATCCGCACAGGAACTAGGGGAGCAGAGGTTACCCTTATTGTATATGGGAGCTGAGGTTCAGTGAGAATGAGGATTTAGTGCATACCGTGATGAGTCATCGCCATGTCTGGCAGGCACTCTGCTCTGCTCCTGCGATGCTCTGCCTTCCAGAGAAACGGAATTGCTGAGGGAAATGCAGCTGGTAAAAGCTGGATGGAGTGCATCTGGGAAGAGGGAGGAGGTGGTATTTTTGAAAGACACAGAGCTGCCTACTGGAATCTCCCTTCCAAAGACCACGCAAGGACACTACAGTCTTAGATAGCTTAGGAAAACAGGACAGGAGTCATTTGCATCAGCTTCCCTGAGTCACTGCCATCACCCATTAAGAATTCTAGCCTGGGGCTGGAGAGAGCCTCAGCTGTGGAGAGCATCTGTTGCACTTGGAGAAGACTGGGGATGGGGGTGGAGGGGTGAGTCCTAGCATCCATACAGCCCCCATGCGGATGTATGCAGGGCAAACATTCATGCATGTGAAATGAAGAAAAAGAAATCTAAAATTTAAAAATCTTAATGAAAAAGAATTCTAGTCTAGAAAACCAGACTTCGTTAGAGGGATTCCCAGGTTCTCTGTTCGTTGTACATAAATCATAGCTTTTAAACCATCACCTCAGTCTGAAATGCCCTGAGTACCTGGAAGACTCGTTCAACAGAGTCCAGGGTTCCCGATTCAGTCACTCTGGGATAGCGTCTAAAGATTGGAACAACTGGGAAATTCGGATGGTGCTGTTTCAGGAACTATACTTCAAGAGCTACTCCTAAAGAGAAAAAAAATGGCTGCTGCAAAGAGTCACACTTCTATGAACATACCTATGATGAAGTGACCGATCAAAGGATAGCATTTCTTAAGAGGCCAGACATCACTCTGAAGCCATTAGTTACTAATCCAGCTATTAGAGGTCAAATTCATACAATAGTGTTGTCTAATGCGCACACATGGAATGACATTTGACCATTGCATGTGCTACGGAGGTCAAGGATTTTCCTTCTAATGTGTCCTTTGCTTTGCTAAGCAATCTAAGACCTTGAACTCAGCAAATCGAAAGAGGCAGCCTTGTCCAGGTTTAGGATTTGTACGTGTGTGTTGTAAGTGTTTCTGTGTGCACATGTATGTGCAGGTATGTGGAGGTCAGAGGTCAACATCGGATGTCTTCCCCATTCTGCCTTACTTTTCAGTCTCTCACTGAACCTGGAGCTCAGCCATTCAGCTGGGTCGCCTGGCCCGTGGGGTCACAGACATGTGCTGCCACGCCTGGCTTCTTACGTGGACTCTAGGGATACAAGCTCTTGCTTACTCAGCAAACATTTTGGCAGTTGAGCCATTTCCTGAGCCCCAACTTCCAAATTCAAAACAATTAAAACACCCCTAATCCAACATTCTGAAGTCCCAAATCCAGGACTTTGTGGGCACTGTTAAGATAGCACAAGAACAAAATTCCAAACTTGACCTATGTGATGGGTCAGAGCCTAAACATGGGTGCACAGTAACTATCCTATACAGTTATCATCACCCTCTGTGTATAAGGTCCACACTGAACATAAATGGATTCAGACCATTCCCAGGAAAATCTTACTGTGTATATGTGAACTATCCAAAAATCTCAAGTATTCCTAGTTTCAAGTATCTCAGGTAAGGGACACTCAGCCTGTACCACCAGCTCTTCACAAATCCAGAAAAATAAAATGAAATTGCCTTCAAGCATGCATCTAACCATTTCAGTGCCAAACAGTCATGGGTTTTCCTGTTTAAAGACAGGGCTGGGCCCCTTGGGAAGCTGGATTCCCGACAACTGACAGCCTTGGCCGCTTGTCTTGGCTTCTTCCCTCTGCTGGTGCTAGCTCCAGGTTTGGCTTGACCTGCCCTGGTTCAGTCAGGTACACGCTTAGTTCAGGCACAATGGACTACCTGCAGAGATGCCAGAAACCAGGACTATTTTTAAATGAAATTGATTTCAACTTCAGAGTAGCCCGAGATGAGCCAGGAGACATCCATTCCACAGGATCTTCCTATAGGATTGGGCTTCTCACGTGGCTGTCCTTCTGACATGGACAGAAGCTCACTATCTCCCCAGCTCTCCTTTATTGCGTGATAATTCTCTGGGCGACAGAATATTGTCTAGAATAACTTGACTTTCAGGTTTCTATATTTAAAAAAATTGGTTAAGTTTGAGTAAATTTTCCCTTATGGGTTCTAACAGAATGAAGAAAAACTTGTAGAAGGTTTTTGTTTTTTTTTGAGGAAGGATTGCTACATCTTTGACTGTTTACAGCCGGATGACCTATTTAAAAGAAAAGGAAATAACTGCTTTCAAATACATGCTCACCAATGCTCTGCTCTAGCAACTTAGTGTGGTTGGGGAGGGGTCCTCATTATTTGAAAGGTTGTCCTTTCCACAAATACTCATTGAGTGCCCTCTCTGTGCCGTGTGCTGGGGCCCTCCAGGCTTATGTCTGCCCTTTTGCTCAGGACTCTGCTGGGAAGTAGTCCAGCATGGCTTGGAGGACAAGACAGCTTGAGGGAACAAAAGGCCCGTGCATCTTTCCCTAACTCACCAAGATGTGCGCGCACTCTTCCTCACGTGAGCTTTCTGGCTGACAAATGTCCACCATGCAGCCCACAGGCAGCCTGCATTCTGCTAGACCTATAAATGTGGTCCAGCACACAAGTCAACGGGTACTTATAACATCATGAGCTTTTCCCTATGTCATGTGACTTGACTGTGCAGGTCTCAAGTATGACCTTTGTAGATGACAACATTTGGTTGAGAGAAGTCAAAATACTGGGCATGCCTGCTGGAGTAGTTACTTGTGTCTGGAGTATCTCAGCCATTTCTATTTGAACCATACTGCAACAAAATTAACTGAGATGCACAAAATCATTCCTCTCTTTATCTGCAGCAGTACTATTTCAAAGGTCTCTTGGTGCCTAGAAACTAGTAGCTACTGGCTACGTGGAAGCTGCACATCTTTCTTTTTAATTTGGGGAGCACTAAACTCCCTTTTAGAGGTAATTGTTCTCTGGCCTCTCTCCTGTTCTTATGAGTTACCCTAGCAACTCAGCCCTATTAGCATATAGTATCATGCTGGGTAACCAGTTCATGATCTGTCCAGCCTCAGGACCAGGATTAAAAAAGAAACTGTAGAATCTACCCTTTAAGTGATGTACTGTAGACACTTGGAGTTGTTTTGTTTTGGGACAAGGTCTTGATGTGTATGTAGCCCAGGCTGACCTTGAATTTGCAGTATTCCTGGCTCAGTCTCCTGAGAGCTGGGATTATAAGTGTATACCAGCGTGCCCAAGTTACTCAAGCCTTCTTAATGTAAACTTCTTCTGTTTTTTCTTGTCGTTGCTGCTGTTATTTCTTTTGCTTTGCTTGGGGATGTGTAATTAAAAAATTGCGTGCATGTAGGATGTGACTATCCAGGAGACCAGCCTGGATGACCGTCAGCAGCTGGCTGGGTAATGAGATGCACAAACTCTGTAGAATTGTACTGGGCTCTAAAGGATGAGATCGTGACAGTTGCAAGGAAGTGGATGGAAGATCATTCTGTTAAATAAAGTAATCCACACTCATAAAGGTAGCACATATCTTCTCTCATGTGCAGAATCTAGGTTTAGATATATAGGTATGCGTGTGTGTGTGTGTGTGTGTGTGTGTGTGAGTGTGTGTGTGTGTGTGTGTGTGTGTGTGTAGGACAGAATAGCAGAAAGGGTACAATTTGGGAAGAAAAAGTTCTAAAGAGAAGGGTAAATAGAATGACTTGACAGGAAAAGGGTTTCTAGGGAGACAGCAAGAGCTGAGGAGGGGTAGATGGAGGGTAGGGTCTGAGTAAGCCCAAAGTATGATGACATGCAGGGGTGAAAATAACACAGCGAAATCTGTTACTTTGTATGCTAGCTACAAATTAATTTCAAAAAGGAAAAGGAAAATGTTAAGTTTAAAAAAAAAAGAATTAAGAGTGTTTTCCTAGTTTTCTCTTCCTTCCTTCCTTCCTTCCTTCCTTCCTTCCTTTCTTCCTAATTTCCCCCCATATTTCTGAAGTACTTGATGTCTGAGACCTTTCCTGTTTTGGTGGATAGGGAAAGCAACCAATGCTGATACTTTTTTTCTTTTAAATCTTCTTCTGTGTTCTAATATTCACTTACTGTGCACCTGCTTGTAGCTCAGGTAACCCTGGGTCTTGAGGATATGGCTATCCTGAAAACACATCCCCTGGTTTCAGGAAGTTACAGTCTCAAAGGGCGATGGGCAGCATTGCGGGAGAGCACAACGACATTTGCAGGGAAATGGATGCAAGACATTTGTCTGAGTTCTGAGAACACATCAGTGGGAGAGGGTAGCTCTGGCTTCGGGTGAAAGGGAGTTCAGGATGCTTCTCACAGGGAATTGCCATTCGTCCTACTGATGGACAGCAAACCCACCAGACAGATGTTGAAGTATCTGTTTCCCTCACTCCAGAATCGCAACAGTGGTCCCTATTTACCGTAGCCAATGGTGGCTTCTGTGTTATAACGCTGTAAATATGACTATGCCACCTTTTCAATATTGCTCACATCACACTTCAGGTTCAAAGGTCACGTCACAAAAACAAACAAACAAACCTGCCATTGATATTTCCCAAGGAATCTAGTTATCATACTTGACTGTAATTCCAAAATTGAAGTTTTCAAAAACAAGTTAATAGCACTTTGTGGTTGAGTAGGGAGTGGAGGGATGGATATCAAGGAGGAAATAAACACTATTAGGCAGATATCAGCTCAGGGAACTTAGACCATAGTCCCCAGAGCCGAAGATAACTTCTAATTTTTTGTTTGTTTGTTTGTTTTTTGTTTTGTTTCTTTTTACCTACCACATGGAATGCTCCTGGGGCCTTGACCGGTCTGAAGCCATCAACAGGCACACACTGATCAGCGTGGCCATTGCAGAAGCAGCTGCCCTTGACAATGAAATCATAGATTGCATAGTGTGTAGAATGTTGAGGCTTCATGTTCAAGTCATTTCCCTGACAAGGGCAGGGCTGTCGCTTGAGCAGCTGCACTCGGAGGCTGGTGATCTTCAGTTGCTCCTGTACTTTGGCACCGTAAGGGTTTTCTGTGTCATACGGTGGTGACAGAGCTCTGAAAATAACCTGTAAAGAGAAGAAAACGCCATGTGTGTACAGGCTGTGTACAAGCCCTGTGTTGTTTGCCCACTGGAGCCCCAGTGTGATTTACACCTTTGGTTATCTGTGACTGATAAGATAACCTGAGGCTTTTAGACCTTGATCACACCTGGAGAAGAGCCGCCCTGTTATTCTAAGGAACAGGTGTGCCTCCTGTTGGGGTACGGAATTACATAGTGAATAACCAACAGAGACGTGGCTCTTGGGGTGACTTGCACTGCAGGGAGCCAATATGGATGTGTGGCTAGATACCCCATCTGAGACATTGCATGTTCTAAAAAGATAACATCACTTCCCAGTGCCCAGTTTGTACCCATAATAAATAAGGGCATGTGGGTAACACAGGGGAGGCCCTGGGTTTGATGGATGCCTACTACTTCAGTAAATAAATATCTAAATAGTCAAAAGTCAAACAGGAGGGCCAGTTAAGAGGCAGCTATAAAGCCATGCACGATCCAGGAGCTTGTATTTCTGAGTGAAACTTAACCCCTTCAGAGACTAATTGATTAACAATTGGGGCCATTACTGCTATTCTACAAACACTTGTGGTTTTCCTTGTCTGGAACTCAATTCCACATTTTGTGGCACTTTAAAAAAGAATATCCCTACAGACACTGAATGTGCTGCCCTTGAGGGGGGGATTGATTTATGAAATGAGTCAGAAGCCATTTATTAAGGAGAAGAGTGCCTGATCAAGGCGCCTGACGATGCTCCTGGGTAAAGACTTGCTTCTCTGGTCGGGGTCACAGACCTGAAGTTTGGGGAAGGAAGCCGGAGGGAGGCAGGCTCAGAGGGGCCGACTTTGGCTACTGGGAGGAAACCTTTGGCCATGCGTGAGTCTCTGCAGTACTGGGGTCATGGGTGGCAACCAATCCCCAATTTGCCTGTTACCTGGAGGAGCAAGGTTGGTAAGAGAGGACATCACAGCCAATGGAAACAAGGGATGTAAGAGACTCTGAAGTATTGTAACGTGAAATAGAATTTAAAAAGCGTGCATATTATGCAAGTTTTATAACGACGATAAAACTTAAGCAATCTTGAGCATTATGTATGTTGAGATTCTTGAGTATCTTTTGGGCTGTGAGAACTTAAAAACCAATAAATAAAAGCAAATATTTGGACAACTAAGTAGTACAAAAATGATCAAATGTAGGCTTTGGAAAAGCTACCGCTTAGGGAAAATGCATCCAAGTGACTTTACAGAAAATTACTGTTTTAATTTGTTTCTGATCAGGCCAAGGGGCCTTGCCCATGCTCACCTGCCAGGCAGGGAAGCTGTGTGTCCTCAGGCCTGCTGTCACTTTCTCTGTCTCTTGTTTTGAAAAGTAACTTTTTCTTAAGCCTGCAGCAGTTAAGAGTACCTGTTGCTCTAGTAGAGAGCCTGAGATTAGTTCTCAACACCCACATGGTAGCGCACAAACATCCGGAACTCCGGTTTCAGGAGCCGATGCTCTCTTCGGCACCCCACAAGCACCGGACACGTGTGTGGGGCACACATATACATGGAAGCGAAACACTCACGCTCATAAAGGAAATAAACATTGGAAAACAGAGAGAGAGAGGAGAGAGAGAGAGAGAGGGAGGGAGGAAAAAAGGAATGGCCAGGCATAGTGTCTCACATGCCTTTAATCCCAGTACTTGGGAGGCAGAGGCGGGTGGATCACCTGCCTGGTCTATGGAACGAGTTCTAGGACAGCCTGGTCTACACAGAGGAACCATGTATCACTCCCCACCCTACCCCCCCCCAAAAAAAAAGAAATGTACTTTATAGCAAAAGCATGAAAAGGCAGAAATCAACTTCTGAGGACTTCACTGTCATGCCTGTGAGGACAGCGCTGCTCTTGATCAAATATAACACTGCCTGCAAGGCAGTAGCCAGAACGAGTCTTCAGTATAAAAGAGGAGGCTGAGCTACCTCCCACTCTGGCTTAACCACCCTCCCCACACTGCCAAAGACCCAATTTCCTCAGAATAAAAGTGTCTTCAATGGCCCTGCCTGATTATGGTCTTTAAGCAGTACTTACAGTACCTGTGCTTAGTACTTGGCCGTAATTATGGTACTAACAGTAAACAGCACTTTAGTACCTGGCAGTCTACTTACAGCTCTTTTCGATCTGTTGTCTTCCCTGGGGGACAGCGCAAACTTCCTGGGGTTAGTCTAAGTCAGCATCACAGGAGCCATCCTGGCACCTTGTAGGTGTTCAGTGCATTTTTGGTAAATGCCTAATGAATTACAAAACTCCCCTCTGCACCTGAGTAATGGTGAGACTGTAAGCACCCTCTTTCTCTCCGGAGCCCCCGTGTAGAGCCTGGGCTGAATTTCACAGTACCAAAGCGGGAGAGGCAAGAACTTGGCACAGAAGTAATAAAAGAAGGCTGTGTTACTAGCTGACCAGTGCACACGCTTCTGAGCACCTCAAACCCAGACACGTGTTATCTCAAATATATTCTCGTCCATTCTAACCCACATGCAAAGCTGGTGGGAAGTGATACAGCAAGGAATCAAGTTTTCCAGCAAATACTATGTCAAAGTTGGGAGTCATCGTAGAAGTCATGAGTTTGCTTCTTAAAGACACAAATCAGAACACACTTCATATTTCCGAGACCCCTAACAAACAAAACCCAGAAAACCTGGAGCCACCATGGGCCGTAAAGGAAGAAGACCCTGGCATCTCTGTTAGCCCCTCACGCAGGCATAGAGTGGCACGAGCCAGTGCTGACCTAGCACTGCCCACTGAGAAGCCACCCTGTTTGATGTGCTGTCTGCCCACCCTTCCTTTTCCTGGACATGGGTGGCAGCTGTTTGCGCTCTGTTCCGGTCACGTGCTTACCCTTGACATTCTTGACATTTACCCCGGCTCCCTCTGCCTCCCCACCCCTCTCACCCTGTGAGTCGGGGAGGAAGATCCGTCAAGGTTTGGGGAGACTAAAGGCCCTTTTGCTTCCTGAGCCCAGCCCTGGGATGCTGAATGGTGGCTCTGTGCTGGGTGTGCATAACACCACAGTTGGCACGCTGGTATCAGCAGGGAAGGGACATCATGACCCCTGAGGCTGCATGCCGGGAAGGAGACAGCCGAGTGCCACAGACACAAAAGCCAACGGGGAATTTAAACCATGAAGTCTTTTTTTTCCAGAGAGGAGGCGCCTTCATCTGATACTCTGGGAAGGGGATCTAGCCTACATCAGGAAACAAAATGTACGCCAATCCAGATGCTGCAAAGTCCTGGCAGGTGGCCCTTGGGTCCCACCCAGAAGAAGCCTGTGTGCCACTACAGACAAGAATAAGGCACTGTGGAAGCCCTCCATCTCCCAGAAGCCTCTTCTTTTTTGTCCCCATGGAGAGCAGGAGGTGCCTGGGGCTTGATCTGTCATTGATCTGCCTCCAGTTGCTCTCGAACACACCCCCAACAAGCACACTGATGGAGATGAAGCCTGTTAGGGCCGATGCCCGGTGCCTCGCGATTCTTTCTCCTTAAATAAAGTGATTTTTATTGTGTTTGAGTGACTGACATTCTGCTCATTACAGAGAAGTTCCATTCATACTTTCGAAGGCAGTTAAGTACCCAGACAGCCAGGAATATTAACTTGGTAGTGTCTTTCCCCCTAAACTCCTGTACAGATTGCTGACAATTCTGTACAATTGGCGAGTATTCTTCCAATTCAAGAAATATGCCTCTCCTACGTCAGTCGTTCTGAAAGAGTAGTCCTTGGATCTACAGCACTCTTGGGGAACTTTTTAGAAAAGCAGATTCTTGAGCCCTATCTCGGGTCAACTAAATCAGGGACTCTACAAGCTTGGCTGAGCACTCTGTTTCAGTGGGCCCTCTAGGTAATTCTGATGCAGAAGAGAGAGTAAGAAACATTGCCACACAGTTAAAAAAAAAAAAAAAAAACACCAGAACCAACCTGCTTAGCAAACCATTGCGTGAATGACATAATTTATTTAGCTAGGCTGCTATTGTTAGGCAATGAGGCGGTTTCCTTCTCCATGTAACCAAATACAATGAACACTGTAAGTGAAATGTGGATGTACTTGGTATTTCCCTAACTTCCAAAAGTAAAATCAATGGGGCAAAGAAGACGCATAATTTAAAAATATCTGCCCTTCTGAATGAATCTTGGATCCTCTCCTATCCAATCCCTGGGCTTGATGGATCGTACCCCCTACCCCCACTCCCATTTCTCAAGATGGGTTTTCTCTGTATAGCCCTGGTTTTCCTGGACCTAGCTTTGTAGACCAGGCTGGCCTTGAACTCACAGTGATCCTCCTGCCTCTGCCTCTGCCTCCCGAGAGCTGGGATTAAAGGCATGCGCCACCACCTGTGATTTTTGTATTTATAAGAAGAATGAGGTGGAGATGAGTAAGCCCTCAGACATAGAAATATGAGGTCTTTGGTGTGCTTCCCTGTTTGTGGAGGAGCAAGGATGCTTTGGGGTCATTGTTGCATTTCTTCTCAGTGGAATCTAAAGGTCATGTTCTCAAAGAAGCAGCTTTTGTCTCTACCGAGGTCGCCACTGCTTTCCTGACTTCCCGCTTCTGTTCTCCGCTCCTGCTTACTCCGGGGTTCACTTGCTGGACTCACAGCAGTTTCTTAGCATAGAACCTGAGGCTGGTACTGTGAGACTTTCCCCCATTTGGGCGTGGGCACAGGTGTGGACGTGACAGGGAAGGCTAGGTGTGGGTGCCCAGACCCCAGCTAGCTCTCTAGCTAGGTCTAGTTGTGGAGAGCATCCGCATGGCATCCATGGAAAGGGAACCCATGGCAGTCATCTGTTTCATGTGTAAGTGAATTCTCCCCGAATAAACCTCACTTAACCTATACTGAGTCCCAGTGAGTCTTTTTCCCCACGCTTCATCAGAGTGTTATTTTATAATTGGCTGTGGGGCCAGGCAAAATGCATAAAAACTACCAGCTATAGGAACTCCTTCCTTATAAGGTCTCGTTGCTTTGACCTTCTCAGAGTCT